ACACACACACACACACACTCACACTCACACACACACACACACAGACAGACAGACAGTAAGACAGTTTATTTTACATGAGCACAAATAACTCTGGTTTTAAAAGAAGAAAACAGCTACACTTTTTAAATTATATAAAAAGAGCTTTAAGAGCATATAAAATAGCTTGAAAAAATACCTTTTGATGCCCTAAATATAATGTTCCCTTTGCGATTTAAAAAAAATCTTCAAACAAAAATTATGCTCATCAAGGCCAAATTTATTTGATCAAAATAAGTTATGTTCTGAAATCATTAGAAATGTCACTTTATCATTTAATGGCACTTGTCAATTTATTGCATCCTTGCGGAATAAAAGTAAAATAAAATAATAAAAATATAATAAAAGTATTAATTTGTTATTTAAAAAAAAAAAAATCTTACCAAACTTTTGAAGGGTACTACATCACTTGTTTTTAAATATTATTATATTTATGTTATATTAATATTAAGCAGCAATAATTAAGTAGCAAATCAACATATTAGAATGATTTCTGAAGATCATGTGACACTGAAGACTGGAGTAATGACGCTGAAAATACAGCTGCGCATCACAGAAATAAATTACATTTTACAGAAAGCAGTTATTTTCAATTGTAATAATATTTCACAATTTTATTATTTTTATTGTATTTTTGATCAAATAAACACAGCCTTGGTGAGCACAAGAGGCTTGTTTCAAAAACATTAAAAAGTAAAAAAAGACACATTAAAAATATGAGTATTTTTAAGATAATTTTTGATACACAATTTAAGATATTTTGGATGAAAACCGGGAGGCTTGTGACTGTCCCATATAGACTGCCAGGTAAATTACACTGTCACAGCGTACACTCTTCCGTGTCAGCCGCGCCACAAGGATGCGCTGTTTTCTTTCAAATCACAGTGTAAATACACGTAGAAAACGTATCCTTGTGTCGCGGCTGACACAGAAGAGCGTAAGCTGCCTGCGTTCGGCTCATATTCTCCAAAGTGGCACTACTGTGATGCGGACAGACATAGAGGAGACGAATTGTTGAATAAACTCGTTATTTTTGTTTTCTTCACGTACAAAAAGTATTCTTGTCGCTTCATAATGTTACGGTTGAACCACTGATGGCAGATGGACTATTCTGACGATGTCCTTCATACTTTTCTGGACCTTGACAGTGTAATTTACTTGGCAGTCAATGGGACAGTCACAAGCCTCCCGGTTTGCATCCAAACTATCTTAAATTGTGTTCCGAAGATGAACGAAGCTTTTATGTGTTTGGAACGACATGGGGGTAAGCAGGGCAGGACTTATGGGGCCGGGGGCCCCTGGGCTTGAGGTTATGTTTGGGCCCCATACCTATACTACAAATGCCCTCAACTAGAACATTATTATGGAGTAACACAAAATACACAAAAATTAAAATATGCTTTCAGGTTCATATACTGTATACAATTAATAGGCAACATGTCTAGCCTAGTCAAAGTTTAGATGTAATATTAAATAGTCA